CTATTTTATTTAAAAGCAATACACAGCAGGAGATACCACTGACATCCACAGGAATAATTGAATCACTTCACTAGCAAAAAACAACAACAACAAAGTACACAAGTACTATGTTGGGAGGGTTGGAGAAAGCAAGATACAGTTGAGTTTGACTTGACTTAGCATGCTCAGCAGGCTGTTTCTCGGAACCAAATCCTCCTCTGTCATGCAGTTGTAATAATTCATTCTGTTCTAAGACTATATGAAAAGTTATGTTTTTCCTGCTCTGTTCATTGTGCAAAGCAATAAAACCTTACTGGTAGCATGGCTACACTCAGCTCAAGCCTGACTGTGATTTAATCTATTATTTTATTACTGGATTTCCTTTCAATATTTGAAGTTTGTGAAATACTATTACTTTGATGCAATATCTCTATAGAGAGGCGACAAATTTGAAAGTAAACCACATGTTCTTAAGTTATTTTGCAATTTGTCATCTTCTGCTAATGCCAATGCAAGCTATATATTATATACTGCTCCATTTCAATTTCTCTGTATTTTACTTTCCAGTGTTCTACAGTTCACAAGGATCAGGGGCAGAGAATGGTAAAGCGAAGACCAAGTAAGCTGCCTAGAAATTTTCTATAGAGCCTGCAGCTGGAGCTGCTTTACAGAATATGTGTCAGAATTACTTCTGTATGGAGCTCCACAAAGCCATCACACAGGATATCACTTTAAAAATTATGCACATTGTAAGCTATAGAAAAATTATTATGCAACGTTTGTGCAATGCACAATTATATATTAATGCATTGTTAAGCCTTTTCTGCGCTCAGTGGCCACGATACATTAGCAAGTACTGCGGAAAAACAGGAATACATTTATGGATACCTTAGTGGTGGATACTGGGAACCACACATCCAAACTAGATGCATTTCACAATCAGTTATTTTTTCAGTAAATGCATAAGAGCAACAGACAACAAGACACTTGCCTTCATTACCTTTATGGCTACAGGGCTTTGGGGAGTAACAGAAGCATTGGTCATACCACAACCATGAATCTGAGATTATTTTAACAATATTAACACTCATTTACTTAGTAACAATCAGGTATTATAGAGCATTTTTTTTTTTTTCTGAGAACATGTGAAGAAAGATAGTATATTTATCCTATTTTTTTCCTTGCTTGAAAGAAGACATGCTGAACTAGACATATTCATTAAGGCATATTTTCATGTGCATTGCTTTTTGAAGGACTTACAGTGTTCCTAGCAACAAAGTCCACCCTACACATTGCTTTTTCTAGGCTCTATTTATTCTAAATAAAAGGCATTTCTGAATGTCCTAAGAAAAATGAACAAAAGTGGTAGATTACTCAACAATCAAAGAACCAACCCTGAACCCCAAAGCTGGAGAGAAAGTCCCAAGAAAGTCCCAAGAAAGATGGGATAGAAGGGGGAAAAAAAAAGAACAAAAAAAAGAACAAGGAGGAAAAAAAAATTAAAATAACTCCTCTGGCTTATTGGAAAACACTTCTGCTTTTGACAGTCCCAAAGTTATTGCAGGTAGAACACTAATTTTTGGGTTTGTGACCCTTAGGAAGAAACATGCCTTAGCCGTGGATGCTCCTACTGCCAAAGGGAGACTGTTGCTTCATTTGCCCTGAGGCCAACTTGGTTGCATCGCGTCACCAGAACACTGTCTTTTTGGTGTTGACCTTTGTACCTGATTCGGACTGCTGACCATCTTTTTCTCCACCTGTCCCAAGGCTCTCTGCTTTAGGGATTTCCACAGGACTGTAACATTTTTGCCCATCTGTACAACATGAGATCTCACCCTGCTTACATCTGTCCCTCTTCAGAGCTCACTTACTCCCTCTGGCTACATTATGTAGTGGGGATGAAACCTTCATAAACCTCTTAGGGAGTACAGCCCCAGAGACTCACACTTTCTCGCTTCTCTGTATTTCGGCTCTAAAGTAACAATTGCAAATAAAGCAAATGGCACCAACTTCAATCCTTGGGAACCTTTTTGGATTTACAACATTCAAGTTCCTAAATGGCACATTATAATACCCTACTAAACCAGGAGAAAAGAGGAATATTGTCAAGACTGTCATACTGCTTTACAAAGTGTTTATGATAAGCATTTCCTATACATTTTACCCTATAATCTCTAACTTGTTATCAGTTCCCCAGAAAGATCATAAATGCTACATGCCTAGAAAATCTGGCTTGCAGCAGAAACCTGTTCTTCCTGTCCTTTGCCTTTATCTTGGCATCTCCAGTTTTGTGGGTTTGTGCTGCCACAACACTGCATGCATGGACCACAAGACTCTATTCTCTAGCAACACAATGAGAATTAGAGCTCTTGGCTTCTTCTTTCTAAGGCCCTGCCCATTTCTGAATTTCTTGCACATCAAGTAGCTATAGTCACTGCCTCTGCTAGTCTCTGCAATGCAGTTCACCTTCCAGAGAACCCACTTCAAAAGAAACTTTATTCAAAAAAACACTAGAATATGTACAGAATTTTGCATGGGTTCTGGCCAAATCACAGTGCCAAACAAACGCAAAAGAGAGATGAGAAGTAAGACAGCAAATGTCGTGGCGTCCATAGTGCCTGCACTGCTCTGGCTCTTGGACCAGAGAGACAGCATCTCTAAATCTAATTCCTGGACAGATGTGATAAACTGATGAAAAATGCACTTTCTAAAGCCATTCTGGAAGGCCTGAACTTCATGTCTACTCTTGCTGGTGTTAAAACAGCCTCTGGATTAGGACTGATTAGAAACCCAGCACAGTGAAGAAACAGCACTGTGAAGTTACAGAACAATTCCCAGTAACTCCAAAGGAAAAATCATTAATGAAAAATCTCATTAGATTAAAATATCAAGGAAGGCCAGTGGAACTAAGCTCTGATCCACATAGGTTGATTTTATTATTTTCTACAGTATGACCATATAGTACTGATAACACAAGGGGTATTTACAGTTATTTTTAAAGTGTGTGCAGAAATTTCTGCATATTGCCTTCCATTCTGTCCTTGGATGGTATTTTAAGGGGAAGGAGTGGGACTTTGTTTTGGTTTGTGTTTTTTAAAGCTGGACAGAAAGTAAACATATCAATATAAAGAAAGAAGAACAGAAAACAATATCAAGTGAAATATGCTCATCATTGACAGCCTTCCTGTAAAAGAAGTCTTGCACATTTGCATGGCAAGCCTACAAAATACTTGAGAGAAACAGTATCTGTGATGAAGGGATATTGTAATTCTGTAGTGTCATTAAATACGAGTGGCAGGTATTACTTGTTCTGCAGATTTTCTTCAGCAAGGACTGCAACACAGAAGAAGGGTTTAAAAAAAAAATAATCAATATGCTCTTTATCAATATGCTCCCAAGCTGCAGAAGACTTTCAAACACAGGGATTCTTCCACTATGAGTATCTGTTGTGCACTTTACCTCCTCTATAATGCTGGGCATTAAGGTTTGGGGCTTTTGTGTAAAATGCCTGCATGTTGTAGTAGGGATTTGCAATGGAACCGAGTTGTGGTTTTAAGCATTATTGGATTATCTTATTGTGCTGGGAAGACCTTAGAGAAACAGAGGGCTGTGACAGAACACAAAAACCTGAATTTAATATACTCAGTAAGGGTTATGTAGTTTAAGGTTAAGACACTGTAAGGCCATTAATCTGTAAGGAAGGATGACCCTGGAAAAATACCACTTTACATATGTTCATTTGCAAGCTTTTTTTCCTGAATTTTACCAAATATTAGTGTTAGATAGTGAGCTCTGATGCATTTTTTATTTTTTTTTCATATGAGCTTGGACTGGAGGCACTGCATGGAGATCTATGGGTCATAAGTCATGGAAACATCGCCACAAGAACTTTCCTGTATCTAAGATATCTTCCACTTTACCTGCTAAAATAATTTGATGCAGGATTGATCTGCATCATGCCACAGTGAATCGCTACAAGTATGGCCAGATGGAGATTACAGGGGGCAAAAAATAAATCATAAATCAACAGGCCATTCAAAAATACAATTTACCAACTAGTGATTTCAATGTTTATGCAGAAGGAAACACAATTAGCACTGTGCAAACTGGGAAGCTTAAAAACAAACTTCTCAGAAAGCATTATTATTTTTTTACTCATGCTGTAGAGATACCATTGTCTCTACAGATGGCTTTAATATTGCTTTGCTTTTGTTATTGTATCAGATAATTACCCGAAATCTGAAAGCTGTTTTGTTTGTCTGAGAGCGAAAACCTTAGACCTGAAAAATAAATAGCACTGTTGCTTTGGAAGCAGAATATAAAGATTGAAAATATAAAGCATATCTTATTCCACATTGTGTTTTATTTGTAGATTTTACTAATAAGAAAACCCCAAACCTAATAATTAAAAAAACTCCAACAAAATCAGAACAAATACAGTAATTGCATTAACACTTCCTATCTGTATATAAAGAAAAAATAATTTCAGCTGAAGTATTTATATTGAACCACTAACACAAAAATAGCAAAATTCCCCCAAACATCAAAGGAGGAGACATTTTGCTCCAATCAATCAATCAATCAATCATGACATGACATTATGGTCAACCTCTGTTCTCCCTGCACTACTTGAAACTGATAACAGCTTTAAAAACAGAACTGGTTCTCACTTGGATTTATGTTATGTCCATATGAGGGCAATCTGGTAGCTGAAGTTTTTTAAATAAGCAATTAGAGGTTGAATGAGAGGGAGAATGTGCCAAGACTTCATGTATATGGATTTGATCCCTATTATTCTTCTTTGGAAGATCAACAATCAAGTAGTATGAGCAAACTCTTTCAATGACAGGCTTTATCCTCAGGACAGGAGAAAAAGCCAGCTTCCACATGCTGACAGGGTCACAAATACAAAGACCTCTCTCTTCCCTATGAATGTTTGGGTATACTGAGGTAAACACCATAATTTTTTCCTTACCCTCAGTCAGTTAACAAATTGAATAAAATTTAGATTAAATTTCTACCTCTACTTGAGTGGCGTTGTCAGGGCCCTCCGCAAGCAGCAAGTCCGTGAAACCCCCTGGCTCAGAGGAGTCCTGCCCCATGCTGGCTCTGTTGGTGTCGACTGATTTGAGAGACTCTGAGTGCCTTCTCCACCTGTGGCTGCTTACATGGAAATCCACCTGCACAGTCTCCTCCACTCGAGGGAAGCTCTGAACAACTTCATAAAACACACCTGTTTGACAGAAAAAAACCCAAACAACCAAGATACTAAGTGAGTGGAACTTTGGTTTACTGATCATAAATGAAAACTTCACAATAGTCATTTTTTATAAATGTTTTGAAAAACTTTATGGAACAGCCATTTATATCTTTGACAAAGTTTCTATAACAACAGAGGAAGAGCTTAAAAGAATAGAGAGCTATATTGTACTTTGAAAAGATTTAAGAATTTGGATTAAGTTTTCTAAATGCCTCTAAACATCGTACACATTTTCTTTTCCTTGCAACTTCTGTAGCATTGATGCTTGCCTACCCATAAGTGTCACTTTTCAAATTAAAATATATCTAAGATTGAAAACCAGTTAGTCATCTAACAAAACAAATGTAGAAGAGGCAGAGAAACACTGGTGTGAACTTATTTTTTGCTACTGATTTTAAGTAGATGGAGCCCGGAATCCATAGTAAAGGCAAATAAACATTATGAGAGGCATGAAATTCCCCAAAACATCTGCTCAAGTGCAAAAATAAAGCTGTCCCATTGTATAAGTGATAAATGCAAATAATGTGTGTGCAGACACCCACTGTCTTTCCTGCACTGGGTGAACAGCTTTGCCGGTCATACAAAGGTGATACAAAAGGGTGCCCAGGGGAGGTCCCAGCGCTGGTGTGGTTAACATATTCCTTTTGGATTTGATTCATGCTCATTCACAACTCTTACATGCTAATAAAACTATCACCAACACAAAAACTTTAATCCTTCAGTAATTTTCAGTTTGCCCCAATCAAAAAGCCAATCTAAGCTTTTTTTTTTTTTTGCTTTTTTTTTTTTTTAACACCATCAAGATGGGATACAGTAATTTTGCATACTTTGCACTAAAAATCAGATATGCCTTTCATACTGTCTTTGGGTCTAAAAGGAGAAGTAGAGGGGTGTTCTGTGTTTATCATGTACCAGGAAGAAGGGGATCTTATTCATAAAACAGGACTGTTTGCAAATGAGGTTGCAAATGAACTTTCAAGAGAAGTGGCAAAGTATAAGAAAAATACTGAGAGAAAAGTTAGACTGGTAAATTAATTATTTGTAGAAATGTTTCCATTGTGTCTGTCTGGCAGAAGATTATGAGCAAAGGAAGACATCACTTTCAGGTTCCTTACTAAGCATCACATATATTGTCTAGATGCAGAAGAAAAACAGAACATTGTCTATCATATGTTTAAATAGAGTAAGATTTTCCTGCATCATAGCAGCAACAGATATACGAGTATTAGATATAGGAGAATCTACCAGATGTTTTTCTTGACAGACCAGAAACAATACAGAAATATTCTCTAACATGCTTTACTCTCTGTGTGATTCCATTTTTCTATCTAATTCTCCAAAATATACTAAACTTATTTCCTAAGTTATTTGATCACAGTCACACTGAAATTAATGTGAGCCAAAGTTGCTTTGTCACCTAGAGAAATCAGAATTTAATAGAGATGGAAAATAAGCAATCTCAGGCCATAATTTTCCTTAGACCCCAAGTAATCAGATTTCTTTCCTTTTAATTGGTGGCTTTTTGAAACTTGTTTCCTTGCATGTCTTAAAACCCACAGAACACTTATCTTGAACGAATTGCCACTGCACTGCCTGATTTATCAAGCAATCAGATGCCAGATGCAGAGGGACAGACCAGCAGAACTTATTCCTCCACAGTACTTATAAAAATCTATTCAAAGCTGCTTTCCCTTCTTCAGAATGGGGGATCTCACCATTCTGTTATGGGGATAAGGGCACCAGAAAGCTGACAGACAAGGCAAACTTCTCAGAAGGGATTGCAGATAGGTGGTCTCTGCCTTCGATAGGCAATGCTGGAGACTGGATGCCTGGTGGCAACACTGATCCTCCTGCTGTAGCCAAGTCCATGGCTCCAAGACCTCTCAGCACCTTTTGCAAGGGGAACATTAGACACCCAGAAAGAGGGGGCCCAAGCCACAGTACAACAGCTACATAACTGCAGGACCCTGCTCTTTTCTTCTGAAGCACCTTCACTGGCTGCCCTTGGTGGCTCAAAACACACATTGAGAGAGAGAGAGAGAGAGAATTTAGCTTTAAGATATTGTAACATAAGCAGCTTTTAAAAATATTATAGTGCTGTAGAGAGGAAGCAAATAAGGACATTGGGGTATTTCCACTGGCTTGAAAATTCTGTGCATTTTTCTCCATAATTTTATTTTTCAGTATAATTGTATCATGGCATCTGCAAATTTTGGCACAGGCCATTTCCCATTACAGAAATCTTTGATGTCATCCGTGCACAGCTTTTATCCTGTTTCAACAATTTTGATCACATGCTTTTTCTCTTGAAACATAGAAAATGTTCTAAAGCATATTGTTACTGCCATTACGTCATTCAAATAAAGTGGAAAGTGGTGAAATGCTGCAGTATCTCATTAATAATAAAATAATATTATTGACAAACATAGATGATTAGTAACTTGTTCAATTTGTATGAACAGAGACTCTGCACTACAATAAACCTTCAAATCTGTTAAAATTTGAATTACAGGCTTCAAGTGACATATTTGTGTGCAAACCACAAGAGTGTTACATATAGTCCTGTCACCGGCATGCAAAACCCTCAGCCTGTAGAGCTGATACTGTACTGTAGTATTTTGGAAGTAGTAAAAATAGAATACAAGTCTTACTGATAAATATGTAATTAAGCTGGTGTTTTGGTCTGATCCTTCAGCTCTTGTCCTTCATATTTTCATAAAATTAGCAATGAAAATCATTATGTCTGCATCTTCTTTCCCCTTTGAGGTAAGTTAAAGATTCCAACTCTGTGTTGAATAAAGCTGGAAAGGCAGTGGGGTGGGGGTAAGGGAAACAAATCCATAAAAAGCTTTCACTGCTCTGAGATTATTTTGAGTTAATGAGTGACTATTGGGAAGTTCAGAAGCCCTTGTCATAATTGGTCAGTTCAGCCCTTCATGATCGATGTGATTGATCAGGATTAACACCAAAGGCTTCAAGGGAATAGGAGCATTGTTCACACAAATGGGAAAGACCTATGCAGAACACTTAAGAGACTGAAGAAGGGGAATAGGTGAAAATTACAGACAGAATCACTTCTGCTCCCATCTTAAGTGCTTCAGATTTCCTCCGGTAAAGGTTTGAATCCTCACAGAAAAAAAAATAATTAAAAGATTTTGGCATCTATTGCCTAAACTACCAGATAATAGCTTTTTTACTACCTTAGCTTGCATTTTAACAAATAATAGACAAGTCTTTAAAGTGCATTAACTAACCTTATGTATAACAGACGACTGAAAACCTGTATCTGCTTGAACTTCAGGATCTGACTTTTAAGGTGGCTTTGCAAGTCTGAGGTTTTGGGCAAAAAGGTGTGCACAGAACTGCTTAACGCTTGTTAACATAAATTAATGCTACAAGTGGACAACAACTGAACACACAGGCAAGTTTTTCTACTTTAGTACTGTGAATTTTGAAAGCAGCTCTCATAGATTGGAAGTGCAGATTGGGCTATACAAGAAAAACTTGCTGAAAGGGTAGAGGCCACCTGAGTATGGTGGGAGCATGAGTTCTCTGCTTTGTCAAGTCTGCCCTCAAACAAAAAGGTAAAAATTCTAAGTAAATAAAGCCAAAATGAACCAGCAGGGCTTGTCAAGTAAGACAAGGGAAGTCCAGTCTGCATAAAGATTTATTTGGAATGACGATCTAGCTTTCATTTCACAAGAAAAAAAGAAACATTCAAAATTTTGTGGATAATAATGTAACTAAAGGAGAAATAAATTCTATTTTGAAACAGAAAAAGTCAAACAGGTAAAACATCTACCACTCATTCAACTGTTTGAACTGTTTGGTTGGGTGTTTTTTTCCTTCTTCCATGAAGTCAGAGATTTGTAGAATGTTTCAGTGCATCAGAATTTCATAACTGCATTTCAGAAAAAAATGTTAATTTCAGTCCATGATTGCACATATTTAGGCCAACTCTGCAATTTGACTAATTTCATAAATGCACCAATCAACAAGACTTTTTCTTAAAAAGCAGAAATACTCACTCATTGACACCTCTATTCAACAGTTTTCTCTTTTTTTTTTACCACAGCCCAAATGCCAGCAAAATCAAATATCAAATATACAAATGTGTTCATCAAGGAACAGAAATGCCAATGGTAACAGAAGTGGAAGGTAGGTAACATTTCACACCTACTGTGCTCTTACATCTCATGCATATCTGCACTTCACATGTGCAGACCTTTTGTATTAATTTGGGAACATTAAAAACACAGTTATGTTTATACCATGCAGAGTATAATCCTTTACTGCAACCCTCCACTTTCTGAGACAGGGAGATGAAATTGCTTTGAATGGAAACCACATAGAATGAAGATGCAATTGAGTTTGGTTTAGCCTTTCCTTACAAAAGAGGCATCTCTAATAGGCTTAGATACCAGCCATGGCAAATTCAATTTGCATACTACTCAAGATCCCTATTAACAAGAAAACAGAAAAGCCAGAACTGTGTAGTTCCAATCCACAGATGTGATATTTTCCAGAGTTTTCAGGTGGACTGTGTGAGAGAACTGGACCTCATGGAACACACAAAAAAATTCAAAACCATGCTATTAGTGCCCATCTAAACTCAGTACACAATGCACAGCTGAAATAGTTTCTCCAACTGAAAAACAGTAGAGTTTCTTGTCTCAGCTGCTGTAACTTCAGTGTAGCGTCTCTACACATAGCTTTGATCTTTGCTATACATGCAATAATTTTTTTTAACATTGGCCTTCAACATTTTTTCAGCTGAAGATTCCTAAAAATTTCCTAGTAGAGTTGTTGATTTAAGCCTGTCCAAAGGAATACTTCCCAGTTCTCCCTTTCACTCTCCTTGTTTCCAGCACAAAATTTGACATTATAGAAGAGAAGCTCAACTGTTCTGACCTCACCTGACTAGCAGAAAGGAGGTGCTTCCTGATACATTAAACAGCTCTGGGATTCTTCCT